AAATGTGTAGTGAATTAAAATCTTGAAAACATAGAGATATTCTCCAGCCAGGGAAAAAAAAAAAAAAAAAGAAATCCTCTTAGCTTGTTTACAAAGTAAAAAATCCAATAAACAGATGTGCTCATTACTTTCCTGGACACTCCCTGAATTCACATGTGTTTCGGCCAAAAAGTTCATGTGAAACTTAGAAAATTATTTTCTCTATGAGCACAAGAAAAAAAAAGATGAATAAAAGGCAAACTGGGAAATCCCAAAATATGCAGGAAAATTTTCTTCCTATTATTTCTTTATTTAAGCAGACCAGAATTAAACCCATCCTAACATTCTCAATAACTCTCAAAAGTGATTTAAATGCTTTACAAGGGAAGAGCGCTAAAAAGATTTAAATAATACAGATTCTATCTCTCTGAAGGTCTTCAAAAATATCCATTAGGTAATAACTTGCTTCAGTTGTACAGAACTAATTGTATAATATATTTCTCAAATGTTATAATGAACATATCTGAGATCTAATAATTTATTCTGACCAATTTAATAATTTATTACCAATAAGCATCTTTTAGTTTTCATTATTTTTCTAATCTCTTCATTGGATAAAACTCAGGAGAAACTAGATTCTTCTAAACTTAATTTTAACTAAGAATCTGTAAAAGGGCAGAGCAGCCTGAGGAAGTTCTAAATGAGAAGCAGGATGTACGGTTTCAATAGATCAGAATCTAAGAAATCCACACACCACCATAAATGTGTCTCCAACCACTCATCAGGCTGTCACCTTAAACATGGTATGTCAAGCACGCAATTTAAAACTCTTCATGGCCTCTATCACCATATACAGAATTCCCCTCACACAGAACAAAACCAATAATTTTCTCAACTTCCTAACTATTGTCATGACATCAAGGCACTGGTGATAGCATTATTGTTTATCAGTCCACTGAAACCGAGAAACCTGAGTTAAGGGTCTCATTAGCTCCTCCTGCCTGGGTTATTTTAATAGCCTCCTAATTTGTCTCCTCATTGTTAATCTATTCCCACTTGAATCCAAATAGCATCAACCTGCAGACCATCTTAAATATCATTTTAATTACATTACAACTCAGTTCAAGAATTCCAGATTGAATTTTACCCTATTAGCAGTGAAAGCAAACTCTTTATAGAGGCATTCAAAGCTCTTTTCTAATCTTATCTTCTGCTTCTGTTCAAAGTGAACCCTCTGCAATCAGGCTGATCTAGCACCATCTCTATTAATGTCTTGCTCAAGCTGTCCTGCCACCTCGCTTTCTCGTCGATGCAAATACATCCTCCCAGCATGCTCAACTGAAATGCTAATATAGTTTTCAGTAACCATTATGGGTGTAAACAAATTCTTTTCCTTTAGAGTTTCAATAACACTCACACATTGTCTGATCCACTGTTTAGGCAGTATTTCATACTGTCTCCTACTGTCAAACAATTATACATCTATGATCTACTTTGATTAAGTAAAGATAATTCCTTTGTGGGCCCTTATATTTGTACTTATCACAGCCCCTGACAGAAAGCTAGAAATACACCAAATGCTCAATATTTGGTGAACAATGAACCATCTGCCTGCTTAGTCTTTATACAAAGCATATAGTGTGTGTGTGTGTGTGTGTGTGTGTGTGTGTGTGTGAGCTTCTAAGACTTTTTTCTAACAAATCAAATATTTATATAGGTTCATCCTTGATGGTTCTTAAGACCATCCCTGTGTTTAGTGATCCTCAAGAAGGACTCAAAGGACTCAACACATAGTTGTACTCATGGCTCAGATTTACTACATACAGCAGAAGGATATAAAATAGAATCAGCACACAATTTCTCTAGCATCAAATTGTGACATGTACCATCTACCAGGGAAACTTATCAGAGACTTAATGCTCCAAGTTTTTATTATCGCTGGTCACTGAGGCACACACAATTCCAGACCCTCAGAAGGTGTTTAGCATGAACCACACTGCAGTGTAGGCATAGTGAGCCACTCCTGTCACTTAAGTAAAGTGTCATGCATAGAAGATTTTACCATTCAGGTTTCCAGACAGAAGCCAAGGGCAAGCTGGTAAATAATAGGCTAAGGAGAGCTGTCTTGAGCCTGCTTTGCTAGCTCTTTTACATGTACTTTATTTCATATTTTCATGGGAGAAATGTTATAGTATTGACCGTTTCTAGTTTAAGAGTCCCCTGGAGTGATTTTATAAGAATTCAAATCTAACAGAGATGTACTACTAGTCCAGGCACTCACTAGTTAACAGTTGTGCAATTTTGAAATAATTCACTTCCTTTTGTTATTCTAGGTTTTCTTTTTCCTTGTAAAATGAGGTGCCATGTCTTTCTTAAATCAATATTTTTGTATTTGTTAGGTTAAAAGAATTAAACATAACATCTAAAGCAAACAGCTATTCTTGAACAAGTTTCTTGTCTCCTCTCTTTAAATGGCAGCTGGATGCCAAGGCACTGATTCAGGTACAACATCCTACTAAATCCTTAAAACAATTCCATATGTTGGTGAATGTTTCAATTTTACAGATTTTAGCTTCAAGAGCCTAAGTACCCCATGTAATTTTACCATGGTGGAATTAGAATTTAGACTTACACCCATTTGTTACAGTTTGGATTTGGAATAGTTGTGTTGAAGGGTTGGTCCTCAGCTGGGGTGCTATCGGGAGGTGATAGAAATTTAGGAGGTGGGGCCTAGTTGGAAGAGTCACTTGGAGCATCCCACTGAAGGGTATCTTTTGTCCCTGGGCATCCTGCTCTCTCTATTGTCTGACATTCATGAAAAAGGACTTCCATAACTGCTTCAGAATGGCCAAAATGATAGGACAAATGTGTTCAATGCAAGGGGGAGTATTTTGAGGAGAATTAATGGCAATGTATTTTTTTACTGTTATAAATTCTTTTTTTTTTGTACCAGGGATCGAACTCAGGACCTTGTGCTTGCAAGGCAGGCGGTGGAAACACTGAGCTAAATCCCCAGGCCTATAAATTCTTTTAAATTTAAACACTCACCATATATTTTGATAATCCCATGTAAATCTTTCCTACTTTAAATTTGGGTATTTTGTCACAGTGACAGAAAGCTGGCTAATACACCACACCCTTGCTCTTGGCTTTATACTCACTCTCTATCCAACTTCAAAGGCACATGCTTCTTACTATGAATCATTTCCCTCAAACTTTAGGGCCCTTTTTTTTGCTTGGCTATCCAAAGCACTATTCTTAACCTCATTTGCCTTGATTAAAACCAGATTTTAGTAAGAAGAGGGAGGGGTAAATTTGACTTTTTCATTTCCTAGTCTTTGAAGAGCACAAATCGAATTATATTTCTTGTACCTTAAAACCATTAGGAAGCTGCCTGTTCAGAAACTCCGCAGCACAGTACACGTTTTTCCTTTATTTGGCATCATAACGTTGGAAGTTAGATTTATATCAGGACGTTGGCACTGCACAAATCAGCAGTGGTGACCTTGGAAAAGTTTGTGATGCTTCCTGTGCTTCAATTTATTTGTCCAAAAAGGGGGATCCCTACCCTCTAGGCTTGCTATGAGAATTAAATAGAAGAGTATATTTAAAAGGCCCAGTGGATATGTTTGCTGAATAAATGGTTGCCTGCAATGACTGAATAACTGACATGTGAGCAGTAGGCTAAATCAATACTCTGAGGAGTAAGGAGGTGTACAGTAGACAAGTGTCCTGACCACCAGGTGTCACCACTGGGTCAGGAGCCCTGGTCTAACTGCTCCAGGTGGAGTATGGCCCTGCAACAAAACAGTCTGGTCCTCTGGGTTAGGACGGTCACTTTCCCTTACAGAAAGGACATTCAAAATTGGCTCAGGCTTTTTAAGATCGTAAGAGCTGGTACAGTATTTTTTTGCATTACTTATTGCTTTCTTACATGTGTTAAAATTACGAGTATAATTAGCTGAATATCTACAGATTTGTCATCGTTTAATTTTTAAAATTATCCACAGCAGATTTTTTTTTAAAATGTCGAGAATAGTGCCTCATACATCCTATGCTTTAGCCAGCTAGCCATTTGCTGGCTTCTACAGCCTTCTGTAGTACCAGTGTGGACAATTTTCTGGGGCACCGACATTATTGATGGGCCCAACCCATTGAGATTACTACTTCCTTTATAAATGGGATGACAGACAACAAGAAAGCAGAATATTTTTAGTACAAAAATGCAGTCTGTGATCAGTATATACAGGCAAAATAAGGATTAACTATTAATCCTTTTCGTTGGCCTAACGAACTCAAAAGTTCATTTAAAACAATTAAGTTTTCTACTTTCTTGACAAGAAATCACGGCAGGGCAAATCTGACAACCTGTGAATACCCCTGAAATTACTCAAGGAACACTGTCACACCTGACTGCATTCTGTAACCCGCTGAGGTCTCTGGCGAGTGCCCAGGGCTCAGTTCGAAATGAGGGCTCCTCCGGTTCTAGGTGCTCCACACTGAGACCCACTAGTGGCCGCTTCGAGACGGGTGACTCGGTGAGAGCGCCCAGCTGGAGCACAGACCGAGCCTCGTCTGCTAGAACACTGGACCCAAGTCAAGCCGACCAGGCCATCCCGGCACAGCCCACCAGGCAGAGGAGTTGTGCCACGCACAGATGCTTCAGTGCGGGCTGGATTCATTTTTGTCTTTAACAAAAGCTCAAGTTCCACTTTATATCTTACAAATATGAAGATGTCTTAAGGGAAACCAGACTCATGCTTTCCCCCCTAGCCAGCGCTCCCATTTCTGGGGAACTGGGAGGGAAAGAGCAGGCAGCAGGAACCGTCTGGAGTCAAGAGCGCTCCTCACTGCCGAGCACTCTGTGCCGGTCAATGCCCTCCTGACCGATAGACCCCGCGCGGGTCCCCGGGGACGGCGCGCTCCCGAGGCCGCCGCCCCGCTGCTGCAAAGGGGCCGACGCGAGGGCGATCCCAGCCCGCAAGCCGGGGACAGCGGCTCGCGAGGGCGGCGAGCGTTACCTGGACGACTCCGCGGTGAAGCTGCCGCCGTCCAGCAGCCGCATCTTGCAGAAAAGGACCCCGTTGACGAAGGGCACCGAGGAGAGCTCCTCGAGCTCGAAGTCCACCTTAAACTTAAACTTCTTCTTCTTCATCATCGTGAGAGCCAAGCGCCGGCGGGTGCACAGCGTGGGCGGGCGTCGCCGCCTCAGCTTGGCCGAGCCCCGGATCCGCCCAGCACCATGGCTCGGGCCGCGAGTTGCGCGCGGGGGTGCGGCCGGGGGGCGCCGCGGGACAGCGGGGGTCGGAGCCGGGGCCGCTGCCGTCGCCTCTCGCGGCAGCCCAGGCCGGAGCGCGGCGGCGGCTGCGGCGCGGACCCCGGCCGCCCGCAAGGAGCGGTCGCGCTGCAGCTCCACCTCGGAGTGGGCGCCCTGCCGGTGCGCAGCTCGTCGCCGCCGCCGCCGCCCGTCTGCGAGCGGAGAAGAGGGAAGCGGAGAGAACGACCGCCGCCTCAGCGCCTCGGCCCCGGACGCCCCCAGCGGCCGCACCCTGCAGCGCACCCGCGGGGCGGAAGCAGGAGCAGCGGGAGGGCGGGGAAATTCGGGGCGGGAGGGTGCCTCCGCGGGGAATCTAACCCACTACGGCAGTTAGCCGCGCGCCACGCTTCTCGGGTTAAAAAAAGACAAACCCGGCCCAAAAAGCTTACTTTTGCAGCTTCCTCTGCGCCTTTCCTTTCAGTTTCCTTGCACCCCCTCTTTTCTTCCCTTTCCTGTGATTTCTTTCCCTGGGGTTTAAGAATCATGGGTTAAAAAGGGCAAACAATCTACTACGTTGTTTGGGTCAAACGGAGATCCAAGAACTAAAATTTCCTTTCGAGTCTCTAAATTCACGAGACTTCAAATGTAAAACGAAGACAAGATAGGAAAAAGGAAAGGGATTAAGGTGATGAAGGCCTTCGAAGTGCCCATGCAAGGCACTGCTCAGCCATTTTCTCGTGTTGATGCCCTGTCTAATCTTTGTCACCCAGGATAAAAGATAATAATCTGTCTATATAAAGAAGAGAAATACTTAAAATCAAATTCTCCAAGGCAGGCTTTAAAAATCTCCCTAGATGAATAGCAATCATTTGCCTTCTGTAGGCATATGCAGTGTCTACTGTTAAATGTGTATGACTTAGTTACATAATGTTCCTGTTTTGTTTGTTTGCTTTGCAGTCCTGGGGATTGAACCTAGGGGTCCTGGATGTACATGCCAGCTAAGCTACACCCCCCCCCCCCCCCCCCCAACCTAGGGGTCCTGGATGTACATGCCAGCTAAGCTACACCCCCCCCCCCTCCCCTTTGTTTTGAGACAGTCTTATCAAATTGTCCAGGCTGGCCTCAAACTTGTGAGTCTCCTGCCTCGGCCTCCCAACTAGCAGGAACTACAGGTATGCACCACCTGCCCAACTATGTTTGTTTTTAAAAACTGAAGTCTGGTCTTTTTAATGCAAAGATTCTCTTGCACTAAATTTTGAAAAGACATAATTGATTCTCATTTATTCATTCATTCGTGCGTATAAAAATATGTATTAACTGCCTAAAATGTTGGCCACTGGCTACAATAGAACCAGTGATCAACAAACAATAACTGCCCTTAAGAATTTTACCATCTAGGCCAGGGATTTAGCTCAGTGGTTGCAGGCAAAAGGTCCTGAGTTTGATCTCTGGTACAAAAAAAAGAAAAAAATTGCTGTAGAGCAAGCCCAGGGGATTTGGACTAAAAAGAAGCTACAGAATTGATGATCTAGGTCACTGTTGGTCTTGGCAAGAGAAATCTTCCTACGTGATAGTGGCAAAGTAAGATTAAAACGTCTAGGAAGTGAATGAAAAGTAGTGATGAGTGGTGGGTGACTAAAAAATACTTCTCATGATTTTTTGTCAGTGAATAGAGGATTGTAGCTGGAGGAGGAAATGTGATATTTAAGATTTTTCAATGATATTTAGGAATTATCCAGTATTTATTGAGTGCCTGTTCTGTGCCAAGCACCTTAGTAGTTCTTATACACCTGAGTTGCAGTCCCTGCCCCAGGTCTCACAGTTGATTGGAGGACACACTTAAGCAGGCAGTTGCAGTACAATATAACAATGAGTGCTATCTATAGATTATGGTGAATAGAGACTGCTGTGGGAGAATAACACCATCTATCCAGGTTAAGTAGGTTTATGAAAGGCTTTCTGAGTAAGTGACATTTGAGCTGAGGCCTGAGTGATGAGAATGGGGGTGGAGAGCAGTTTTTCTATTCTGTGCATGCAGAAGCTCAGAGGAAGAGAGATTGAGTTGCAGAGGGAACTGAAATTAGTCTTGTCTGGCTGCAATTTAAAGTGGGGTGTGATGACAGGGGTACAGTTGGAAGCCACTGAAGTTTTAAAACGGAATGATATATTCAGATTTGCATTTCATAAACATCTCCTACTGTAGTAAAACTGAAAGACGGTTGACAGTCTGGTACTCTTTTTTTAGAATTACAATTCGATTATTAGACAGTTGGTGTGAGTCAGGATCAAGGCAGGAAACAGGCATCATACTCAAAAGTGTTCACATGAGGAGAATTTAATGAAAGGATTATGTACAGAGTTGAGGGCAGGGTGCAGGGCCCCACAATCTGCTGGAGAGTTGGAAGGAGGCAAGGATAAATAACCTGACTCCCCTTACATTCTGATGTACTTTCTGATCTTGTGCCTCTCATGATCTCAACCAGTTAGAGGGCAACAGAGATTGGAAGATGCCATTCCTGGAGGACAGTCTCATAAGCACACAGGGGTGAGAATAGATGGAGGTGAAGGGATAGAAAGCTGCTAGCACACATCTGATTCATCCAGGGCTCTGTAGGAATCCAGAAACCCTTTAGATATTTCAGAAAACAAGGGAATTGCATCCAGCACTTCAGTGCTTCTGAAATCCTTGGAAGGGCTTGGAGGAGTGGAAATCCACAGAATATTGAATTCCAAGTCACATCACTTGGGATAAACATTACTAGTCTGGTCCTCCTGTCCTTCCTGGCATATGGAAGTTTACATTTTCCAGTCCACTTATAGTTAGGTAATTCTGGCCAATAGTATGTGAGAAGTGATGTGTCACTTCAAGATGAGACAGTGACAAATCTTTGAGCAGTTCTCTAGAGTGTTTCTTCCTTGCCACGATAGTCACAGAGGAGACCTTGGGTTAAAATGTAGTATTTACAAAATTGAAACAGCTCAGATTTCTGAGTAAGATCATGGGAAACAATGGCCCGTGTCTGCAGTTAACACTGTAGAGTAAGAAATTTTCATTGTACTGGGGCACTGAAATATGGAGGATTACTTATCGCTATAGCATAAGGCTAGTTTATTCTGACAGAAATGTAATTGAGATAGGAAAGATTGTATGAGCTCATCTCATGTTTCTATTGTATTGAGACAGACACTGCTACTACAGCTGCTGCCACCAGCAGTAGCTCTCATAACATGAAGATTATAAGGAGTCTGGATGTCATATACATGTCATTACATTTGGTCACAAATGCAGGAAGACAGCCTCTACTTACTTGCACCTATTTAAAACTAAATACAACTCTTTGGCAGAACTTATTTGTATCTAGAACTCCAGCGGCAAGGGAGTTTGAGAAAGATAATTTTCAGCTTTGCAACTTCTTCAAATAGGATAGTGGAATGAAGCTCAAGTAGTAGGTCTCAGTATTTACCCCAGATGTGTAATGCAAGTTCCTAAAAGGCAGGGATGGTTTGCTAAACATCCTTTTATCTTTTGTATCTAGTCTGACACCTGACATTAGTGTGTGTTCAATAAAACTTACTTAAAATGATCTGAACTTATAGATCACCTTAAGTGTTTTACCTCTCAGATGAAATAATGGAACTGCAAGACATGTGCCAAGACTACTTGCTAACAATTTGACAGTTCTTATAATACTCTCTATTATGTCTTCTTCAAGGACATTTCCTGGAAGATGCACACTCCTTTTGTTCTTAAATTTCAGTAGTCAATGCAACATGAACAGAAATCATAGCACCAATTCAAGGCCTGGCCCATAGAAACCTACTACACGTGATTCTCCTTCAGGTCTTGCATATGGCTAGTTGGATTTTTATATCAAGAGAAACATGGGAAGTTACAAAGTGAAGATGATGATCCTCCATAAGCATAGATCCCTAGGTGACTATGTGGGAAAGGATTCCCCCTCACCCTGACCAGGAACACCTATGCTGAACTATTATGTGAGCAAGAAATGAACTTTTGTTGTGATATTTTGAGTGTTTTGAGTTTTTTTTGGCCTCAACAGCTAACATTTCCCTAATACAGAAATTGTTGTAGAAGGTCAGGTGCTACTGTAAAGATCTCACACTAGACAGGCAGGCAGGAGACAAAGAAACTGTTACTGGAGACTGAAAATAGGAACCCATGGCAATATGTCTTAGTCCATTTTCTGGTGCTAAAAACACAATACCACAGACTGAGTATGTTATAAAGAAGAGGTTTATTGTGGTTCATGGGTCTGGTTCAAACTGAGGTGCTTCATGTGGTGATGGCCTTCTTATTGGCGGTCTCTAGGTGTCATGTGGAGAGGGTCACACAACTTGGGAGAGACCTAGCCACACTTGCTTTTATGGCAGACTCACTCTTGAGATAGCCTCTATTAATTCATTAATTGTATGAATAAATCAATCTATTCAAGAAGGCAGAGCTGTAATAACCTTTTAAAGGTCCCAGCTCTTAATACCTCTTAATAGGAATTAGATTTCAGTACAAATTTGGGGGATTTGAACCATATTCAAACCATAGCACAAGACATTTGATAAGAGTTACCTGCAATAACATAGAAGGAAAAGAAGATGCCTATAAAGTTTGTAGCTCTAGAATAAGTTGGAAAATGGAATATTAGCAGCTTGTGTTTCCTGGCTGCTTTTGGCAAGATATTAGAAACATGAGATGAGCTCATACAATGATAGCAGGTTTCCAAGCATGAATGAAAAAGGAAGACAGAGAGTACAGAAATGTGGAGCCTCAAGGGGTTGGAAAAACCAACTGCTCTATGCTTCAAAGAATAGAAAATAAGATGGAAAAGCTTTTGAGAAACAAGAGCCCATTAAGACTCAGCCAGGTAGTAAAGATTAGATTTAGGGCATGATTTCACATTACAGTCTGATGGTCACCAAGTAACTGCCTTAAAATCGAGATGAAGAGAAGCAGGACGAAGATGAAGAGAAGGGAGCCTGGACGCAAAGGAAAAAAAAAATCAGGATCAGGAATTATCTGTAGGAAACTTTAGTTTTACTGGCATATGGAACTGACTGGAAGCAAACTGATCAGAAGTGTTTTCAGTTTTGGAGGCATTGTACTATGAAAGAATCATGAGCTGGTTTTAAATGCTGTACCCTCCCCAAGGATGTCATGCTCCCAGCATCTGCTTCACGTGTGGGCTTAGAGGAAAAGCTTCCAGAGAGCAGAGTCAGTGACTCACCAACAGTGCAAATGGGATATAGTAGAGGAAATTCTCTGCCGCCAGTTCAGGACCATCATAATGTGTCCTGGCAGAATTTCATCTTTGTAATGAGCCAGTGTCTTCATTTTTGCCCTTTCCCACCTGGAAGTATTTTCTGCAACACATTTGCTCCATCATTATGTATTGGATGCAATAGGAAAGATAGTTTATTAGTTCACAGGTCATAGTAGAGGTTTTCCCCTTGGCACTACTAACATATTGGGCCAGACAATTCTTTGTTGTGTGGTGTTCTGTGTATTGTACAATGTTCAGCAGCCTTTCTGACCTCTACCCTCTAGTTGTCAGTTCCACTTTCTGACTCCAAGTTGTGTCAGTCAAAAATGTCTGGGTGTATGTGATAGAATGGGGTACAAAAGCAACTCTGGTTAAGAATCACTGGCCACTCAGCATGATGTGCAGTTATATCCAGACTTGATGGAGAATCCTGTGCATTACCTGGGGGTTCTATACTTTGAGCTTAATGCAGTGACTGGGAATTTAAGCTTATCTCACTTGGTGAGAGAATGACTGTTATTTGTTTGGAAAGAAGGGTGAAATTGTTATTTGGTGACCAATTAGATGGACTATGGCATAGAATTCTAGGTCATCAGCAAGCTTGTTTTCTCTTCTTAAGTGGAGAATGTGACTATATTTTCCAGTCTTCTCTGCAATTAGTTGTTGCTGCAAGACTGAGTTCCAGTCAATGGGATTTTGTACAATTTCAAGGCTTTGCCCACAAAAATCTCCTGTGTGAGATCTTTTCATTAGGGCTGGGGATTTAGCTCAGTGGTTCTGCTGCCTGCTCCACAAGGGCAAGGACCCGAGTTCAATCCCCAGTACCAAAACAACAACAACAACAATAAACAAAACAAAACAAAAATCCCACAATGATCCTTACACTCTTCTCTCAT